TTATTTATTTTTTAAATTAATTCTTGAGTTCTTCTAAAAACCTGAGCTCTGTATTTGATTGATTTTTAAATTTGAGATTAATTGGTAATTTTTCATCAGTTCTTTTTACATTGTTATTCTAAAAAACATGCTATTGTTGACAAAACCCTTCATCAAATATATCTTGTCAGTTATTTAATTGAGATTAAACTGTGAGTCAAAGAGGAGTTTTTGGAGTGGGTGAAAAAGGAGAAGGAACTGTGTGGGAGATTAAGATTAGCATTAGGAAGGGCAGCTAATAGAGAAAAGAGCACTGAAGAATGAAGACCTGAAGAAAAAACTGATACTGAAGCTAAAGAGAAAACTAAATTAGAATTCCTGTATGAGCAAAAAGGTTCAATATATATGGAGCATTTGCGCTAATTACTAGACCACAGTGCCGACTGGCTAAATTCCAGAAATTGTGTATCCTCGCCTGTAACTTTCACCCGTTTCTTTTCCCTGTTTTAATTTTCTTCAAACAAAGCCTCTTTAAAACATAATGCCCTGGTTCCCTTCTTGTACAGAATGTAGCGAAAGTGAGTTCCTGTTGAAACTTTCTCCTAAACAGTTAAATTCCCAACAGATGTGTTTGGCTACAACATTATCGGCTCTTAGAAATGTTCTTAGGAATGGGAAGTTTCGGTCATTATGAACGGACAGTCTGGCACTTTTCATTGAAGCTGGTGTGTGGGGGAGGATTTTGTTGATCGACTGATATCTTAGTAGTCAGATTTATGGTAACCGCCCAGATCACAGTATCTTGTTTATTCAGTTCTCTTATAAATAACTGCAGACCTAGTTTTGCTTTCTTTTAACTTCAAATTCCCCAACTTCCCTTAATTGAAATATGAAATCTCACTGAAATCTGCCTTGCTTTTACAAATTTTTTAAGACTGACAAAACTAGACCTGTGCTTGTGAACTTGTCCTATTGAATTTTTAAATGTAATGTTGTGTGTGTAATGTAGCTATGGATATGGGGGGGGGATTGTTTATATTTTTCTGTGAACTGTTTATCTTATTTTTTAATATCCATTTTGAATTAAAAAAACTCATAAGTAACTCATATATATATACAGTAAATTGTAGCTATTGTAATTTAAAATATACAAATAAATAGTTTATTATTAAAGAAGTATGCTTATGTAAACATTGAATATTAAGCATTTTTTTATTTATTTTTTATTTATTTATTATATAGTATTTTATTTATTTTTTTAAATCAGTTCTACACTGTTCTTTACAGTTAGCTAGTATAGGTATGAGTTCAAGTTTTAGTTTAGTTTCATATGTATACTCATAACTAACTTATTAATATAACATTTCACATATATACATTTGTAGTTTAATTTATAATATACAAATATTAATACATTTTATTTTTTTTTATTTTTTATTGAGGTGTGTGTGTCTATATTTGCACATGCATGCACTGAAGAAACTGCTGTTAACATTTACATTTTGTCATTATTTTGAATAAGCAGTCTGGGTCTGTTTTTAAGTTCACTGTGTTTTTGTGTTATCAGCTGATTTTGTGTCTGTGTTTGTGTGTTTTATAGTCGAGTGAAAGCAGCAGCCGCTAGCCAGGGCTCCATCTCCCCCCTCAAATCCTCTAAAGTCCCACCATCCTCCTCCGTCTCTGCCTCTGCCAAACGAATTGGCCGCTCTTCATCTTCATCAACCAACCTCAAGAGGTGAGCCTGACCTCCCTCTAATCAGCTTTCCTCCAATCTTCTACACTTTCCATTTCTTTCTTCATTCTGCTTATTCTCTCACTCTTCCACCTCTTACTCTTTGTTGACTCGTTATTTCCAACTCTTTCGTCTAACTTATTCCTTCTTTCTTTCTCTCCCCCTCTATTTCATGTCTTCCCAGTTCCCTGGTGGCCTTCTTTCCTCTCTGTGATTACCCTATGCTCTGAAACAGAGAGCCGTAAACGCAAGGAACCAAGTTGGTTGCTCCATGCTGTTGGTTTCCAGCGACTCGTTCCCTGCTGTTTATGCAATCAGATATCCAGAGTCATATCACCTACCTACTACTCTATCACTCTCTCCAAACCAGCACCTATCGGGTCACAGCCATGTATTTTTGGACCAAGTGCATACCTACTACTTTCTAGTACTGTTCAAACCATATTGAAAAGCACTTTTTAACACTCGCTGGACTAGGGCTGGGTGATTTGAACTTTAATTTTTATATATATGTATATATGTTGGTGGGTAATGCATTACAAGTAACGTAATCAGATTACTTTTTCCCAAGTAACTAGTCAAGTAATCCATTACTTTTTAATTTACAAGAAAATATGAGTTACTTTTTCAAATAAGTAACGGCAGTTGTCAGTAGCCTCGTGGGCAGCGTGCCGATATGTAGCCGATATGTAGCGCCGTTGCGCTTTGGGAGACCCGAGTTTGAGTCCTGGCTCGCGGACCTTTCCCGATCCTTTCCCCACTCTCCCTCCCACCTTGTTTCCTGTCAATATATACTTTCCTATCCTAATAAAAAGGCAAAAATGCCAAAAAAAAAATCTTTAAAAAAAAAAAAAAAAAGTAACGCCAGTTACTTCACAAACGTGAATTTCCTTCAGCCTGGGGGAATGAAAGGGCTTTTACATTTGCCAAAAAAAAAAAAAAGCCCAGCCCAGATGAGAAAAAGTAACGAAACGGATTACTTTCCATAAGAAGTAACTAAGTAATGCAATTAGTTACTTTTTTAGGGAGTAACACAATATTGTAATGCATTACTTTTAAAAGTAACGTTCCCCAACACTGTATGTGTGTGTATAATTAAGTTTTCTTTTATATGAACAAATACAAAAATACCTGCTAATAAACAGCAATATTCCCACATTATTTTACGTAAATATTTTAATATATTTAAAAAATTGCAATGGTAAAATAGAGAAATAACACTTTATATACAAAATTCTAGATATCTACGTTATCAAAACATTAGCACATAAATGTAATTTATAAATTTGTTTTAATGTTCCAGATTGTCTTACTGCTCTTTAGTCTACGTTAGATTGTTCAGAAAACATTCAAAAGTAACTTTTCTGTAACATTTGAAAAATGATAGAATGGAACGTTACCTTAATGTTTACTCGAACGTTCACATAACCTAGAAAAAATGTAAAAGAAAAAAAAATAAATAAATTACACAATATATGATATAAAAAATAACATTTAAAAAATACATTTTAATTTAAATTGTTTTAATAATTGCATAATTTAATGATTGACTTGGATAATGCAGCTGAATAATTTACTTTTATATGCATAAATATTAAAATACTAGTGCTGGGCAATGTTTAATCGCGATTAATCACATCCAAAATAAAAGTTTTTGTTTATATAATATATGTGTGTACTGTGTATATTTATTATGTATATATAAAGACACACACATACAGTATATATTTACAATGCATATTATATATAAATATATTTAATATATAAACAGAACATTTTTCTTAAATATATACATGTATGTGTGTGTATTTATATATACATAATAAATAAACACAGTAAACATACATATTATGCACTCAAAAACCTTTATTTTGGATGCGATTAATCGTTGCCCAGCACTAAAAAATGCATACCTATAAACAGCAATGAGCCCACATTAATTTACATTACATTAAATATTTTAATGTACTAATAATTTTATGAATTCCATATAAAAAACAATATTTACAATTAGAAAAATTATCAGTATTGAATAAGTCGCCCAGCTCTACTCCAGGCTGAGTTTGATGATTTAAACAGCAAAAAATACAGTGTCATTCAGAATGCATGCAGTTCCTTGTCCCATTATCAGACAGATTTCCATGATCTCCGTGTCCTGCGGTGTAGATATGGGTACGAGTATGTGTCCTCCCTGTCCTCCACCCTTCATGTGTGTTTCCCTCCCTCCCATCCTCCAGCACCAGGTTAGCCAGCTCTCTGGGTAACCTGTACGAACCAAATGGTGAAGCCAACAGCTCTGGGAAACCTCCTTCCCCTTCCTCGTTCACTTCCCTCCCCGTCCGCACGGGCTACAGCGGCCTGGTCGCCACCCACAATTACCACTACGAGGTCAACAACAACAACAGTCAGTATAACAGCACCAGCACCCCGAACAGCAACGGGGTGAACCCAATATCTATCTATCTATCTATCTATCTATCTATCTATCTATCTATATATATATGAATGAATGAGATTTCTCTTTTTTTATTTAAAATTTTATCCATTATATATTATGTTAATAATGAACAATGAGATGTGCATAAAATTACTGTGAAATTAAATAAAATGAACATTCACCAAATATTTACTGAAAAATATGAAAATAAAAATGTAAATAATTTTCAATGTAATGTAATTTTTATTTTTTAAATACATCATTATTTTAACTTATGTTTATTATAATGAATAAATCTTGATTAATATTATTAATAAATATCAAATGTTCACAAGTCAGATTTTGGAAATTAATTGCAAACACACGGCTATATTTCTAATTCTGGAGTCATCTTAAACTGCTCAAACAAGATTCCTTATTTATTAGGCTTTACAGTCATATCGGTGGTGTTTTAGTGGAAACTGTGGTTACCATGGTACATTTTTCTAGGATAATTTTTTTTTTTCAAACTTCTTCTTACCTCACCCTGATCTAACACATGCTCATTTGCAATCTTGTCTTTTTTGTTCAGATTTTCCTAACAGATTCTTTTAAACGCTTATCTTGAGCATGTTGCATGTCCTCAATTTTTAGCAATTACACACTCACGTGCACGTCCCTCACTTCTACGGCCGTCACATCTCACTCTGTGTAGCATCTGTCTCTAGTGTGTTCTCATAAAGCTCTCACTCAGATGATCTAATATTTACCTAATTACCATGGTCAAGTGAGCTTTAATCGAGTGGTCAGGATGTGACAAATTTGTTCATTTTGAGCTAATCCGTCACCCTTTAACTCTGTGTGTGCATCCCACGCTGATGCTCCGAGGAAAAGAAAATTAATACTAAATAAACAAATATTAAAAAGCCAGAGCAGGGATAATATAGTGGAATACGGAGGCAGGCTTACAGCTTTAGTCTGGTTTGGCAGTAACATAGTTACTAACAAGTACTAATGGCACCTCAATGCTGCTGTTTGATGCAAAGGGAGTGGTGTACGCTACAATATTCAGTATTTGTTTGAATCCATCAGACAAATGGTCCCTCGCTTCAAGTAGTTCTGTACTTCCTGTCGTCTTCGCCTTGAAACCTCAGTTCGTATTTTGGTTAAACTGATACCAGAAACCAAACGTTTTCTTGCCATTCGCTTCAACATTTGTGTTTGTTATTCCACGTCCAAAAACGTTAAATTCCTCCATGTGTTTCCTGTGAATCAGGACGGAAAGGTAGTGAGCTTTATTTTAGTGGTCTGTTGTTCTTGGACCATCTCCAGACGTCTTGTAAGTTGTCCTGTTGGAAGGAGTTTGGTAGTTCCCCTTACAATTTCCTGTTGGTGCCTTTTGTCCGTTGTGAGTCAGGGTTTTTTTATGCATATGTTACTGTACATGTTAATCATGTGATTTCACAACTCTCTAGGCTTTCTAGACTTTCTCCTGTTTATGTGATTGACGATTGGCTCATATCTTCCCTGTTCTGGAGTGTAGTGTGCTGTCTTTGTTCAGAACATCACAACGCCTACACATGTAGCATGAGTGACTCAAAGTTGCGCTGCAGTGATGATGAATATCACTTTCCATCTTGCTCTGACAGCAGCACTGCGCTCTGTTAAACGTTCATCCTCAAAGGGCGTTCAGCTGAGTGTGTTTGCAGCCGCCGCCTTTACTGTCATTACAGTTAAGATGTCATCAGTTTTCTTGCTGCTAAAAATAGCATAAATTAGCATAAAGTTTCTCATTTCACAGCATGTTGTTGGACTTTAAACGCAACTCTCATTAAAAATGAACACTTTTTTTAGAATGTTCTGCACTTTGGAATTCTATGGAATGATTCTAAATTTGGTATAATATTTTAAATGGAGTGGCTTGAACTATATTCTCAGGTAGCTGAAAGCCTAATAAAATTAGTTTAATAAATTAAATTATATTTACTAAACGAACATCCGTAGATCGTGTAGAACTTGTGAACTTTTGTGGGGCTTCCTGTGAAATTCTTGCACGTTTGCTTAGATATTCCAATCGGATGTTCAAACAGCGTTAAGTAGCCGTATGCGCAACATTTTACAATTTTGAATTAATTGTATTTTGTGTTGTTAGAATGTTGATCAAAGTTTGTAAGTAGGCAACGCAAAAAACAGTGCTTTCTGTTGCTTTGTTTGTTAGGTGTTTTATGTGTAGGCGATGATATGAATAACAAAACCCTTTATGTTAGTGCTCATAATGAATTTACGAACTAATCCGAAAAGGTTGCTTTAGCGGGAGTTGCTTACTCAAATTCAGTTATTTTTGTACTGATTTATTGCAAAATCATCAGATTTTAGAATGTTAGCTGAAATGTACACATTCATCAAGATATTCCTATCAGAAGTTCAAACAACGTTTAAGTAGCCGTATGCGCAGCATTTTAGGATTTTGAATGAATGTGATTGTTATTAGAACGTTGTTAAAATGTTTGTAAATGGACAACGTAAAATGATTTCTGTTGTTTTGTTTGTTTGGTGCTTAATGTGTAGGTGATGAGATGAATGTACGAGCTAATCTGAAAATGATGCTTTAGTGAGCATTGTCTAGTCAAATTGGGTTATTTTTGACCCGATTTTCACTCTAAAGTCATCAGTTTTTAGAATGTTAACAACTAAGCCATTTTTCTGGTGCTTTATGTGTAGGCGATGTAATAATTTATGTTAGCCCTCAAAGAATGTACGAACTAATCTGAAAAAAGTAGATTTTTTGAGGGTTGCTTCTACTCAAAATTAGTTTTGTTTACAGATTTCTTACTGTAAAAGCGTCCATTTTCAAGATCTTTACAATCAAGTACAAATTCAAACATTCAGGAAAATATTCCTATCAGAAGTTCGAAATATGTTAAGTAGCTGTATGCGAAAAGTTTACGATTTTGAATGAATGCAAATTTGCTGTTACTAAAACGTTGATCAAATGTTTGTAAACGGACGACAAAATAAAACAATGCTTTCTGTTGCTTTGTTTGTTTTTTGCTTTGGGTAGGCAATGACGTTAATAACAAAACCTTTTATGTTAGCGATCATAATGTACGAACTAATGTGAAAAGGCTGATTTAGCGTGCGTTGTACTTAAATTCAGTAATTTTTGTACATTTTTCATTAAAAAAAATCTTCTGTTTTTAGGATGTTTACAATGAAGTGGAATTGACATATTCGTCAAGATATTCTTATTGCATGTTCAAACAACGCAAAGTATGCGAACCTTATATATGTATCAAGTATGGATCAAAAGTTTGTAAACTGACGACACAAAATAGAACAAAATGCTTTCTGTTGCTTCCCGTTTGTCTGCTGTAAACATTATTTTTCGTTCCCACCTGCTGTGGCATAATTATAAATAATTAGCATTCATCTATGCATGTTGTACACCTGTGTCTTCTAACCTTAGTGGCTTTTTTTCTGCACAAATTCACACACATTTAATGCAAATTTATTTCCGCTCTAAGCTTTGACTTTTTATTCTCATCTCACCCTCATTTACATCAGCGAGGGCTGTGATAGTAATGTCTCAGGTTGGCTTTTTAGACTATTATTTAACTACCCTCTGCCATGTAATTTTCTGTAATTACGTTCAGCATCGTAATCATCTCATCTTCTGTTTTTCCCCCTCTTTTGCAGTCCCTTCAGTCTGAGTATGTTCAGTACTAAAGCCGCCACCTTCCGCTAACCCCCGTCCCAGGCTGCTGGCCTGGTTCCGACCCGTGACACCTTCACTGTAACCACCGATTTGCTGACTTCTTGTAGTAAAAGAGGAACGAAGCTGAAAGGAAATGCTTTGAGACTGAACTGTCAGCCTCATGGTATGATACGTCCTGCTATGACAGGGCTGATCTGGAATCAGCTGCATGCTGTTAAATGACACGAACTTGCTTTGGCCGTCCTTTCAAAATGTCTTATCTTTTTTCTTTTTTTTTTTTAAAGCGATACTCTCCATTTATGAATATGCATAGTTAAATATTTTTAGGTAATGAATTTTGTACTATTTTTGTCCTATTTTATCTACAATTCTTAATGCTCGACGACAAGGTTTGTTGATATTTATGCATCTTTGGATTAGGGAATTTGTTCTGACGTAAATAATCACGTTTTTGTCTCCCGAGTGTACTTACTGAGTAACATATCAAGTGCGAGGGCTATATTTGAAAGATGCAAAATGGTTTTGCATTATTCAAATATATGCATTATTATTAAACTAATACAGATCTGAGCTCGCATGCGTTTCAAGAGCATCAAGGGCTGTTGAAAACACAACCGTCGACACTTCACTTTTTAAGAGTGTTGATTTCACCAGCACATCTGATATATAACATCTCAGAATGTACGAATGAGTTACAAGCTTTTGGCTGCTGTTTTTAACATGCACCGTTTTTACATAAAGTAGCTCAAACTGCTTAAAATATACAATAATGAAAACGAATATAAACATAATCGCAAACTCTATTACAGTAGATGAGCTTTTGTGTATTCAATGATAATGCATAACAAAACCCTTTGTTAGTGCACATAATGAATGTACAAACTAATCCGAAAAAGGTTGTTCCGGTGTTTGTCTCGCATTTGGTTATTTTAGGATGTTTACAATCGAGCGCAATTATCGTACAATTATATGACGCTTATTACAGTGTTCTTAAAGGTGACCAGCAGGTTTTAAGCTAAAACCTTTCGATTTTTTACTTCACATAAAAATTAAACACAGTCAGTCAGCCTCATGTCATAACATACTTGACCTTATTTCTTCTGTGAAACACAAAACAAGATTTTGTGCGATTCACTGAGCTCTGTTTAAGGACTGGGATTGTTGAGCTTAATAATGAAAGCACCATAAAAGTACGGCAAGTTGTCAATTCTGTGATAAGATGTCTTCAATTATAATTCTACAGAATAAAAAAAAAAACTCAAATTTCATTAAAAAAATTTATCCCATCAAAACATGTTGCTCCAGATCTGATGTCAATGTCAAGATGTGCAAGAAAAAAAATACGTTTACGATCATGTCAAATCTGGTGCAAATTGTCATAAAAACGATTTAAATGAAATCGTAGATCTACTGCAGAGGGGAAGCTTACTGCAAATTGCAATGTACTTTTCGTTTTGTTTGTCACGCAAAGCTATCGTACACATTTGGTAAACTTCGGTATCGTATTTCTTCTGAAAACAGCAGAAAGTACTTATATGGTGCAAGTTTGGACCTCAGCAGCCTTAATTTTATTGAATGGAAAAGAGCAGCATGAACATTGTTCTGAATATCATCTTTTGTGTTCCACAGAGGAAAGTCAATCATACAGGTTGAGTAAATTTTGACAATTTTCATTTTGGGGTTAAACTAACCTATGAGTTTCTTTTTGAACAAATACTCCAGTACAAGTTTATGCAGTTATAACTTGCTTGACTGCTCTGTATCTGTTAGTCCTGTAGCACTCTGTACATTCCGGATGGTGTTATGAATTATATGTGTATATATATGTTTTGGGAGAATCTTATTTGATTGAAGTATTCTACCTCTTTTGACATATACATGATGTAAACTACTCTCTTGCTTATAAAAATATATATTTTTGGAGCAGTGTGTAAAGAAAATCTAACAATGTTAAGAGCAGTGTTTGCTTTTCACAAACATACTGAATGGACATTAAAATACAAAGTAGTGGGTTGTACATTATTCTTTTACAATGTAAACACGATTTCAAAGACCAGAACAAAATAAAAGACTAATTTTGCTTTAGCTTGTTCGTTTTCTTTCATAATTTCTCTCAAGTGCATATTTCCAATTAGTCCTCTGCAGTGCTGTACAGATTGTTATTCTGTGACAAAAATACCGCTTTTAACAGCTCCAAAGAAGTAAATTAAGTGCCAACGATTCTCTCTCCCTGACAACCAACAAAGTGTGAACTGCAAAATCGCCACACATTTGTGAACTAAAGCCTCATTTTGAGTCTATCTGGCAGCAGGCGTCGGGCCGTGGGCGTTTGGAGACAGAGCTGTGAAAATGGCTGCTAGTCGAGTGACTGTTCACAGCCATGAATTCGGTAAGTATTTTAAAATGTCACTTTACTTTCTACACAATTTGATGCTTGTATCTGTGTCGTGAATTTTCTCTTCTGCCCACTTTTAGAAAACTGTTTTGTAGGCCCAAAATGTTATACTAAGAACTCAATCTTAATAGACCGTTCAGTTTTTGTTTTCAGTACTTGAACATTATAGCGGTCGTAGGTGTAACATTATATTTAACTGAAACCGTGGCTTCGTGTTTTCCCGAGCCCTTTCATTCAGCTTATCATAGTATAATGTCTGTCTTAGAATACACATTAAACTCAATGATCAACTCGATGCAAATAGCAGGTTTCAAGGCTGCTGCTGCTGCACTCGTTATAATAATAGTGCTCAAGTATCTTTGAAATGGTTCTGGAAAGGCAGCTTGACATGTCAAAACTGTCACAGTTGTTCTTTCTAACCTATACTTGATTTGAGGACTTGAGAAACGGATGAAGAAAATACTCGCGCTGCTCCTTTTTAAGGACAGATTAATAAGCTCGAAAGTGCGCGGTTCCGCCAGTAATTCAGTTGTATCCAGCACTATGCACTGATTATATTTAATCTACAGCTCAAATCATAGATGTTTTAATGAATCAAAGACATACACCGAGATCAGTGTAGTTTGATTCCTGTACAAATGAATGAATCTTGAGTCGGTTCTTTTATTGAATGAAAAACAACGCTATCAGTTTAGTCCGATTCCCGAACAAACAGATGACTATTTAATCTGTTTTTTGTTTTTTTGTATGAAACACATACAGCACAACCATTGTTTGTCTGATTGCTAAATCAATAACTCGCGTGCAGATTTTTTGTTAGTCAATTAAAATAGCCAGTGCTGCACGATTTCTGAACGAATCATTGACGCCTATGAGCCAGTTCTTTTTAGTGAATCAAAAACATGCAACACTATCAATGTTTTCTTAAAGGGACAGTTCACCCAAAAATGAAATTTTTTTCATTAATTACTCACCCTCATGTCGTTCCAAACCCGTAAGACCTTCGTTCATCTTCGGAGCACTAATTAAGATATTTTTGATAAAATCCGAGAGCTTTCTGAACCTCCCATAGACAGTAAGGTTACTACCACGATCAAGGTCTAGAAACATAGCAAGGACATTGGTAAAATAGTCCATGTGACATGGTGCCGCTGCTTACGTTGAACACGCACATGCGTTGTTTACATGAAGCGGAAGCAAGTGCATGCGTCATTATACTCTCTCTATAATGGCGGCGCGCTACAGGATTAGGAGGAGAAGAATTGTTGAATAAAGTTGTTTTTGTTTTCTTTGCGCACAAAAAGTATTCTCGTAGCTTCGTAAAATTACGGTTGAACCCCTGATGTCACATGGACTATTTTACCGATGTCCTTGACTGTGGTAGTTACCTTGCTGTCTATGGGAGGTTTAGAGAGCTCTCGGATTTCATCAAAAATATCTTAATTTGTGTTCTGAAGATGAACGAAGGTCTTACGGGTTTGGAACGACATGAGGGTGAGTAATTGACTGAATTCATTTTTCATTTTTGGGTGAACTATCCCTTTAACTTAAAAATATGACTCTTATTAGACTGTTATTTTTAGTGAATGAAAAACAGAGAGCATAATCAGTGTTGTCTGATTCTTGAACACACAATTTATGAAACAGTGTTTTTTAGTGAATCAAAATACAGCATGATCAGTGTCGTCTAGTTCTCGAATGCACAAATGACTCCTATGAGGCAGTACTATTGCCTACAATTAAATTGTATGACGAGTGAATCGTGTTTTAGGGAATTTCTTTTTCGATTCCCACTGAATGAATCATATGACTGATTCTCGATTGAATGAGATTTATGAGCCAGTTCTGTTTAGTGAATCAGAAACATGCAACACGGTCAGTGTAGTCCGATTCCTGATGAATGAATCGCATCAGTGGTAGTCGGATTTTCCAGTGAATGACTCTTATGAGCCAGTTTTTGTTAGTAAATCAGAAACATACAACGCAGTCAGTGTAGTCAGATTCCTGACGAATAAATCGCGTCAGTGTGTAGTCTAAATCGCCAATGAACGACCCAATTATTTTTATTGAACTAAAACCATACATCGTCTTTTTGCTCTGGTTCTTCAAAAGCAATCAGAGTGGGTGTACATCTCCATTCTTCATTCACTTTCATTGTATGAAACAGAGCAGTGTGAACATCCTGCAAAACATCTCCTTTTCGAGTCCCACAGAAGAATGAAAGTCCTACAAATTTGAAACCACATGAAGATGAGTAAATGGTGCCAGAATGTCCACAATCATAGCAAACTAATATTAAGCTCTTGACTCAATTGACTCAGAATACATGCAACTCCCTTCCTCGTGTTCCTAAAGGTTCTCAATCTCTATAATGAGCCCATTATAAGACGCTCTATTGATTATCACAGGCTCAATCCATTATGAATAATTACTTGCCTTCATGGTGATTGTGCACCCTGGGAATAATGAACGACACGTGAGAATGCAGTGTGGGCTCCTGTTGATCTCACGCCTCTCGTACTCACACGCACATATAAACCTCGATTCTCCACCACAGCATCACCAAAGGGAGCTGCGCTCTCTCACGCACACGTTCCTCTCACAATGTGAGATAAGATGAGATGAGATCTCCCATCATGCCAAACGACACAGACGTGCCGCTGTCGGCGTGCGCTCTGGGACGCGGCTCACGCATCTCCCTCGCCACCGTCTACTCCTTCATGTGCGTTCTGGGAACCGTCCTCAACCTCCTGGTGATCTATTTGGTGGTGACGTTCAAGAAGCTTCGCACAGCCAGTAATGCATTTATCGTGAACGGCTGCGTGGCGGATCTGCTGGTTTGTGCTTTCTGGATGCCCCACGAAGCAGTGGCCACCTCCACTGGGACTTTTTTGGTGATCGGTTACCAGGCGTTCAAAGAAGCGCTGCTGTTTCTGGGAATCACTGTGTCGCTGCTCTCCCACTCGCTTATTGCGGTCAACAGGTATGTTTTGATCACCAAAACCCCTGCTGTGTATCAAAGCCTGTATCAGAAGAGAAACACTGAATGGATGATCGCAGGATCGTGGTTGATCTCCTTGGGCTCCTTGTTCCCGTGGATCACGTCCTTTCGGTATCCGCCCGAAAGGTGTCGGGATGCTGAAGATGCTTCGTTCGCGAAGGGAACATCGGTGTCTGTTTTGTCCAGTCGGTTTGCTACTGGTACACTTGCATTTACTATCATCGGACAGACTTTGGTTGTGGTGTACTGCTACTTTAAAATCTTCCGCCGAGTGCAAATAAGTGTGAAAAGAGTCAGTATTTTGAATTTCCAAATCGCGAACAACCTTCCTTCGTTCCCCAGAAAGGACAAGCGACTCGGCTTTTACGTTCTCGCAGTGTGCTTTATTTTTATTCTTACGACCGAGCCGATTTTTTGGGTTCTTGTCGCGGGACTCTTTGCCCCGGTGTCCGTGGTGCTTTGGACGTCAACGTGGATTGTGTTCTGCACTATATTCGTGTCCAATCCCTTTCTGTACACTTGGAAGAATGAGGAGTTTCGGAAGTCCTTCAGGTCTGTGATGAGAGGAGACTTCTTGCGGGGATCCACGGTTGGAGTCGAGCCCATCACCATCAGTACTATTTCTCACATCTTCCCCAGACAAAACAGCCGCAGGGCATTTCTGGGTGAGATGAACTGAGCTAGACCTGCGAAAGCTTACGACTAGTACTGTGGCCAAATTTCGCTCGTGCCTGTCCAAGATGCTTCTACAATCTGCTGGCGATTTTTCAGTCACGATGAGCTGCATGTGTTTTACAGTGTTTTGTAAAGATTTTGTAACTTGTTGAAGTGTGAAGTGTTTTTTGCACAACTGTGAAGGCTTCACTGCCACTTTTTAAATGAGAAATGTTTATGAATGTTCAAATAAATCAGAAAAATCTCAACCTTGCGTTGTTTCTCATCTTTATTTTTTAAAAATAGTTTTTATATAAAATTAATATTATGATTTAACATTACTTTTATATAAAATTATTTTATTTAACAATTATTTTAAAGCATTTAAAACATTATTTTAATTTGAATGAATATTTATACTGTATTAATATTATAAAATGCTTGTTTGTTTAGCCGTGCATTTTATTTAACATGTCTAAAATGTCAAATATAGTAATATATTATTTTGTATTAACATTCATAAAGTGTATTAATAATATATAAATGCTTTTTTTATTTAATAGTGCATTTTATGTTTCATGTCAATTGTATTCATATTTTGAATTCATATAGAAAATCATAAGAAAATAATATTTAAAATGCTTAATTTTTTTTAAAGTGCATTTTTATAAGTGTTTAAATGGTCAATTATATTCATAGATTTTATTTGGAATTAATATTCATAGTGTAATAATATTATTATATAAAATGCTTAGTTTATTTAACATGTTTTAAATGGCAATTACTATATATTATTTTGAATGGATATACATAAAGCATATACAATTATTATGTAAAATGCTTAATATTTAATAGTGCATTTTATTTTAATAGCCTGTTTAAAATGTCAATTATATATTATAAACATTTAATTTTGAGTTAATGTACATAAAGGGCATTAATAGTTATATAAAATGCTTACTATTTTATTTAATAGTGCTTTTTATTAAACAGCATGTTTAAAAAGTAGTTTATTTGGAATTAATATTCATAGTGTATTAGTAATTTGTATCAAAAGCTTAATATTTAATAGTACTTTTTATTTAACAGCTTGTTTAAATGTCAATTATATTACCATATTTTATATATTTATACATCATTAAGATAACATGTAATTTAATAATTTTGTTTATTTCGTAAAAGTATTAATAATATTAATATAATTTAAGTACTTTTATTTTTATTTTAGATTTTCAGCACCAACTAAAAAGCCACAATCTCATGTGTTTCTTTTCTTTTCAATTACGGTGTTAGACATTTTAATCGGTGCAAGTTCAGTGGAGAGAATGGGATTTTTGAACCCTGTTGACATGGTGATAAAAAGTTACATCCAGCCGTATCCGCTCTTAAACACTCGCTTACATAATCCTCAGACTATTGTTAAAAGCCTGAGCAAGCATCTGTGCGAGCGTCCTGAAAGATGACAGATTTGTTGACTCAAAGTAAGTGGAAAGAATCATTATAAAACAAAAAAACATAATACGATACTTTACTCATTTTAATTACATATGCAAATCATTTAATTACACATTTGCATAAATGTATAAAATATATTCAAATGGATAAATTAACTTATAAAAAGTAATTAAAACCCTTTAAAATAAATCAGTTTCATAAATCACCACAGCCTCTACCTCCTTGATTTTAGCTGCTTCTTGTAGATTCAGCATTTCTGGGAAAAAACCTGATCTGTCCAAGCTTATAAAAACATCGGCAGTTATTTTAATATGCAATCAGTCACTGGTAGTTCATAATGGAAACGTTATCTTCAAAGTGTACACAAAGTAATTTCCTGTAATTGGGAAGAACCCCTTCAGGACAGCAGAGGGAGTCCATGGAGGGATGGAGAGCACAAAGCATTTAGGGCTGGGGAATTCCTCCATGGTTTATTTGGAGTGCTGAGGAGGTGGGTTACGATCCCTCCCCCTTCTACTATAAATCCGATCCAGAGCTGAATGAAAGAAAGCACATTAACTCTCTTGGAGCTCTTTGAATGTTCTTCAGAAGTGGACATCATGGATTCAGCTTTGCTGTTGACTTTGCTTCTACCGGTTGCAGGTAAGTTTATAAATGTACTTTTGGCTTTCTTGCAAACGCCAGTATTTTAACTACGTATGCTAAGTAACCTGAATATTTTAACATATTTTAGAGTCTTACCATCTGCTCTTCTTTTAGGCATTGCAGCTTAAGTGTTATTATAGTTAACCACAACTAACCTAAAATAAAAACATAATTTTTTTTTTATTTTAAACTGAAATAAAATATATTTAAATATATATAGCTAGTTGCCAAAGAAACATTTTCATTGCAATTTTGCTTAACTAAAATTGAAATAAAAATCATATAGACATATGTGACCCTGGACCACAGTGTCTTAAGTGTCAATTTTTCAAAGTTGAGATTTATACATCATCTGAAAACTGAATAAATAAGCTTACCATTGATGTATGGTTTGTTAGGATAGGACAATATTTGGTCGAGATACAACTATTTGAAAATCTGGAATCTGAGGGTGCAAAAAAATCAAAATATTGAGAAAATTGCCTTTAAATTTGTCCAAATGAAGTTCTTAGCAATGTATATTACTAATCAAAAATTAAGTTTTAATATATTTACAGTAGGACATTTACAAAATATCTTCATGGAACATGATCTTTACTTAATATCCTAATGATTTTTGGCATAAAAGAAACATCTATAATTTTGACCCATACAATGTATTTTTGGCTATTGCTACAAATATACCCCAGAGACTTAAGACTGGTTTTGTGCTCCAGGGTCACATATTTAAATAAAATTTTAAAAAATGACTAAAACTTAAAACATGTAATTAAAATTAAAACTGAATAAAAAAACATATATGCAGATTTGAGCATTATAAAACATCTTTATTTTATATAAATCCTAATGATTTTTGGCATAAAAGAAAAATCTATAATTTTGACCCATACAATGTATTTTTGGCTATTGCTACAAATATACCCCAGAGACTTAAGACTGGTTTTGTGCTCCAGGGTCACATATTTAAATAAAATTTAAAAAAATGACTAAAACTTAAAACGTAATTAAAATTAAAACTGAATAAAAAAACATATATGCAGATTTGAGCATTATAAAACATCTTTACTTTATATAAGACTACCATAACTGCATATGCAAATGATTTGATATATTTCTATTTTTTTACGCATTTTTTGTGCATTATAATGTTTCCTCTTTAGTCAGTTGCTTTGTAATTGTGTGCATTTTTAGTTGATGCACTTACTGATGCCCAGAAATTCTAATGTAATATTTTAACTACTTTATTTAATATTGTGAGCATTATAAAACAAAATTCTCTCTAAAAAAAATAATACAACACTTTTATGATTTAATGACATATTACACAATTTCCACAATTATTGTAAATCATCATTATTTAAAAAATAGGACTTACTGATGAGTTCGTGATGAACTAATGGGCCGTGTTCTCTTGAATAGTTGTTTCCCACGTACTGGACCTGCCGTCCCAAGTTCTGCTCAAAGTGGGCGACAGGAGAGAGTTGACTTGCAGCATGTCTTCTTGCCCGGAGAAGGTGAAGTTTGTTTGGACCACAATAGAAGACAGACCGTTATTCACCACTACTGTTTCACGGGACAGAGAATCTGTGATGGTCTTTGACAGTGTGATGAAGAATCACGAAAACACCATTCTGTGCAAAGCAACCTGTGGAAAGGAGACAAAACATGCGGCAACAACGGTTAAAGTTTATTGTGAGTTCCTTGTATGTTCTCAGTTTCATTAAAACTTAAGTAGGCTTCATAATGCACTGTTAGCGGAGACCGGGGTAAGTTGTCACACATTTTACTTCAGTAAATATTTCTCAATGTATGTTTAACACTGGATTACTTTAAATTATAGACTAATTAATGGATTTACAGCAATTATGACTCAAATGAATTCATGAGAAAGCAAATTTGTAAAAAGGTAACCATTGTTTTGGCCAATTTGTGTAATTAGATGTCCAAAATCTGAGATATGTGACGTCAGGCCCCGGTCTCTTTTATTTTTTTTAATGCTACATATGAATCACGTAAGCATGAAATATGTAAACTCATTTTATAGTTTGTTTTTGCTTGTTGACGAATATTTAAATCTTGGAATCCATTTCAGCTTTTCCAAAAAACCCAGTTATATCCGGATATGATAGCTTGAAACTGGGCGAGGAAAGCGTTTTGCGCTGTGAAGTATCTTCTATACACCCTTTGGAGTTGCTTGAAGTGCAGTGGCTGTATGGAGACACAGTTCTTCAGACTTATGAGGGAGAATCCGAAGAATATGCATATTCATTTCCTTTTATATTCACACCTTCTAATGAGGATGATGGGAAGGCAATAACATGCAGAGCATCACTCCGTGTGGATGGTATACCAGCTGATGAGATGACCAAGGAAACGTCTGTACCAATGACAGTTCTCTGTAAGCTACACTTGCATACTGTATATTAACATTAACTGTTTTGAAATTAAACCCAAAACGGATGTGGGAGTTATACTTCCTCTCTGAAGAAGATGACCCCTATGATCATTAGTTCATTAGTTTTTCCCATTGCTTTCACAGCTGCACCGCATAATGTTAAAGTATCTGGAGTGACCGCCGTCCCGCTGGGATCCAGTTTAACTTTGACCTGTGAGGCCGAGGGCAAGCCAAAGCCTGCGTTTACATGGACGGCTCTTAAACCAGATGGCCAGTCTGTGGAAATGGGAAAGCATCAAGATCTCTTCATGCAAGACGTGTCCTTATCGGATGCTGGTACTTACCAGTGTGACGTTAGCAATGACTTGGGAAGTCAAAAGGCCAGCGTTTCAGTAGTCGTTCAAGGTTAGTGGTTCATTTAAAGGCATAGTTCAGCCAAAGATGAAAATCCTGTCATTAATTACTCACCCTCATGTCGCTCCAAACCTGTAAGACCTTCGTTCATCTTCAGAACACAAATAAAGGTATTTTTGATGAAATCTGAGAGCTCTCTGACCCAGACAGGTACTACCATGTTCAAGAAAAGGTAGTAAGGACATCGTTAAAGTAGTCCACTGACAGGGAAGAGAAGAAATTGTTGAATAAAATCTTTATTTTTGTTTTCTTTGCACACAAAAAGTATTCTCGTAGCTTCATAACATTACGGTTGAACCACTGATGTCACATGGACTATTTTAATGATGTCTTTACTACCTTTCTGGGCCTTGAACGTGGTAGTTACGTACGTTGCCGTCTATGGAGGGTCAGAAAGTCCTCAGATTTCATCAAAAATATCTTTATTTGTGTTTAGAAGATGAATGAAGGTCTTACGGCCTTGGAACGAGTAATTAATGACCGAATTTTCATTTTTGGGTGAACTATCCCTTTAATTCTTTAAACGTCTAATTTCGGTGAGAGCCAATAGCCTAGAAGGCAGCACTCCGACCCGAGTTTGATCTAAATAAAGGCAAAACCGCCGAAAAACGTTAAAAAATGTCTAATTTCGAGACATTGCTTTGCTCCCAATTAAACAAATTTTTGAATTTCTTGGCAGCACCTCCTATGGATACCCTCATTGTAGCAAGTCCACAATCCACTCTGAAGGAAGGAGACTCTGTGAGCATTTCCTGCAATTCCAGCGGTGTTCTAGTGACACACGTGGTGCTCAGTAGGAGGGTGAATGGTGTAAAAACAGAGATAATGTCTAGAGAAGGGGCTGAAACATCAGTTACCATTGATTCCGTCAAGCTGGCTGACTCTGGCATGTTTGTGTGTGAGGCTTTCAATGATTATGGCAGTCAGGAGACCACTCTCAATCTAACTGTTGAAGGTAAGACCTTGAACGTCTGGGATTAGTGGATATTGTTGGCACAAAGATTGATCTGTTGAGCGCAGTTACAGTGGGGGTTGTAATGGCGTGTAAAATAGGAAGACGGAATCAGTTGTGGTCTTTTATCTCCTAAAGATACTTTGAGAGTGATGAGTAACACTTACACAGATTCCTCATCCTCATCTTAAATATGAGCTTGAAGTTCAATGCTCTGCAACTCCAGTTTGAAGCACCAACTCTAAATTTGTCTTTTTTTCCCTTCACAGCTCATTTGCTAGAAGTGGCACTACAACCAGACGACGAGGTTGTGTTGGAGAAAGGCTCCAGCCTGATCCTCTCCTGTCAGGCTTCAGGTTGTCCTCAACCCAAGTTCTCCTGGAAGAATCTTTCAAATATGCCGATCCTCAGTCGACTTAAAACAGATGGCTTCCGGTCCCAGCTGGTTTTCGATCTAGTAGAGTTGGAAGATGAGGGAACTTACCTTTGTGAGGTCACGTGTGGCTCGATCAAGAAGTCCAAACAGACAGAAGTGAAAGTGTTTTGTAAGTATCTCGAAAGGTTTACCATCCGGTCTCGAGTTTACATAAAAAAAATTGTTTGTATTGGGAGAAGTTCCTCAAGCATTAAGCCCGTTCACACTACAAGCGACACAATCCCATTCATTTCAATGGAGAGCTGGCGATTTCCGGCATCACAAGCGACAGCGGCCGTTGGCGACCGGATGGGGCTTGTCCAGTGGCGCGACAAAGTTCAGAATCCTTCAACTTTATGCAAATGAAGAGCGACTTTCGGGAGCGACAGCCAATAGGAAAGAACACAGTAGAGCTCATGTGATCGTTCTTCTCTCAGCCGTAGATAAACATGCACAATGGAAGAAAGTAGGCTCTGTTTCTCGTTCATTTTTGTTTGTATTTACGGATTTAATTTAGATTTAGATTATATTTAGTCTTTTGCCTCCAAAATGTTTGTACTTAGCGGCAAGAAACCTGATTTGCTGTCAAGGCAACCAGTATTGAGAACCCCCACTAGCAACCTAATCGCCAGCCCAAAAGTCGCTGCTAGTGTGAATGCAGCTTTATACTGGTCCTCAACTCTGAACCTCGAGATCCGTTTTCCTGCAGAGTTTAGCTCCAACCCTAATCAAACACACCTGAACAAGCTAATCAAGGTCTTCATGATTAGTACAAAGTTGCAGGTAGATGTGTTTAATCCAGGTTGTAGCTAAACTCTGCATGAAACTGGATCTTAAGGTCCAGAGTTGATGATCCCTGTACTAAATAGTTAACTGGTTGATGAATGGAGAATGTATAATCAAGTTTTTAACATTTGAAGTTGAAATGTGTATTTTTTTACATCACTAGCATCACCAGTTGGAATCGCAAGACTGGTTCACAAAAAGTTTTCTGAACATTCCCCACATCTACCATTGGTCGACAAAACAAATTATCCTGTCCAAAACTCATTGAGCCAAAATTGCTGTGTTTGGCTAGTTGGGATGCTCAAACAAAAAAGTTTAATAAGAGACTAAAACATTTAAATAGAAAACTAGTTAATCTTACTGTCAAGGAAAAAGTTCCTTTCTCTTTAACTTCTCAGAGTTTGAGTTGCAATTAACCAACTGTTTAAATGTGAGTCATCTGTCAACAGTAATTCAGTCTCTTGAAATCTCTTTGTGGAAAGTTTTAAAAATAGCTCTCTTTGACATTGATTTGATGCAGGAAATAAAGCATTTATTATATTTTCCAGAATGAGAATGAACAAGGACTTGAGAGGTTAACAAAATGGATAATGTTGTCAAGATTTAATACTCCTCTGATTGAAACATTATTGCTTTTAAGGTCATAGAAACTTACTTAAAATATTCTGTTGCTCTTGACGGAAAACAACTCTTAGAATGTGCGAGGGAGTGTTGCTTTGTTTACATTGCATGTTTTACTACATATCGACTCTGTCAGAATGATGGTCAGCTGTCGTCATTCAAGGTTCTCCTTAATTTTGTTGTATTTATTAGTCGGTGTGTATTTATACTTGAAAATCCTTAGATGTTCCATTTTCTTCTCTTATCAGCATTTCCAACAAGTCCTGTCGTGAAAAATTCTGGACCTTCTCTGGTGGGAGAGATGATGAAATTGACCTGCACTGCTCAGGAAGTTTTCCCGGCCAACCTTTTCCAAATCCTGTGGATGGATGGAGAGCGAGAAGTGCATTTGGAAACTGGGTCATTTTCAAGTGGTACAATAAATCTGACTTCAGTGTATTCTTACCGTGTAAACACCGAAGACCAGGACAAACGCATCACCTGCAAAGTTTTGCTGGAAATGCGTGGTGTGCCAGCTGCTCAAGCAGTAAAGACAGCATCTACTACACTGTCCGTTCACTGTAAGTCAAGGTATTTCTTTGTTTCTTTTAAATATCAATTTGCCTTGGGTTTTTAAACATTGTGCTCCTTTTACAGATCCCCCGAGAGCAACCAGTATTACTGTGAGCCCACTGACGGAGTTGAAGGAAGGAGAATCTGTGAGCATTTCTTGTCTTTCCGACAGCTTTCCAGTGGGGCGTACAGTGCTGAGCAGGGTGATGAATGGTGGACAAACAGAGCTAATGACCAGTGATGGGCTTGAAACATTGTTTACCATCCCTTCGGTCGAGCTGGATGACTCTGGCGTCTATGTTTGTGAAACCTCTAATATGTATGGAAGCCACAACGATAGTGTGGAGATTACCGTGAAAGGTAAGTTACTAATTACATTCGGTCAAAATCAATCAGTGGCCACAGTATCAACATGTTGTACTGTTTGAAATATCAGCAGTTATTTGAAATAAATTAACATTTTTAGAGTGCCTTGCTCTCCATTTAGCCTTGTTCTCCTTTTCATCAAAACAGATAAATTGTGTTTTTCTCTTAAGTTGATCCTGTCTAGGCAACTGACAATTATTATGCCTCTCTTATCCCAGCACCACCCAGGAATACAACAGTGGAGATCTTTCCATCCACAGATGTTCAGGAGGGGCAGAATATCACCATCTGTTGTCGCTCCATGAGCTTCCCTCCTCCTACGGTGGTCCTCAGCAAGCTGGATAGCGAGAAAAATGTCTACTCTCTTGATGGTGTATTCCTGATGATCAACCTCACTCCTAACGACACAGGCCTTTATCAGATCAACGTCACCAATTACCTGGGCTACGAGACTGAGATTTTCAATATTAGTGTGATGGGTGAGTAAAACTGGACGTATATCATATCAAGCTAATGTATTTCTGCATTTAGTTTGTGAATTAACACCATGTCCTAACCAGACATGACACGACCGGTCAAGTTTTGCACAAGTTTTAACTTGTTCAAATTTACAAAATCCCAACCATTCGGAGCATATTTGACGCTTAATGTACATTTATGTGAAGTAGTATTTTGGACCAATGAAATTTCACTGTGGCCAGTGGTCCCCAGGTGCGACCAAAATTGCATACTGTGGTATTTGACGAGGAACAAACTTGTTATGTGATATCCGGCATCAATTGTGTCGCTTCACTGATCCCTGACATAAGTTGCGTCGCTTCAGTGCCATTCACAACTCCTCTCCCATGGCCTGATGGGATAGTAAAGTGTCCATCAGATGTGCACTTCGTAATCTCGGTGGAAGTAGTGGGCCATCCTGGTACTTTTCGCCTTCTGTTTTATGAATGGGAATTTTGGAGATATTACTCTTTTCATATTCAGTTTTTAGTCAGGTTATACGCCACATTAAAAGTGACACTGTTGAAAATGAGGCTATGAGGAATAGGCTTACTTTTTTACCATGGCATGTGCTGAATAAAAGTCATCGATCATGTAATTTTGCACAACTTTTTGTGAGTTTTTTGCTTTTTGCTTTGACATTTCGTCAGCTGAGCAATCGGTATTGTTATACAATGGTACAAACCATAAAACACACTGTACTTCTATCCCTCACAGTCTCATTTTCTTTCCTGTCAAAAATTGAATATGGTGCTACCCTGAGGTACCATGTCAAAACCCAAGGGTAGCTTGACTAAATGTGTCATAGGTTTTCTCAATTGCGGTTTGTTAGGACAAGCAAAAACATTTTTTTTTTTACAAACATTTTACAGCATATTTCCAATTTGCCAATCTCTTTGACTTTTCATTACAGAGAAAAGAGTCAACCCTCCATTAGGCTGGAATGACTTTCTAATCCCTGCGATTTGCCTGGGAGTTGCTGCTGCGCTGCTCGGTGTTGTGGTGTACGTGTGGAGAGCTAGAAAGAAGGGATCATACGACCTTACAAAGTGCAATCTGAGCACTGTGTAGACTGTGTTTACATTCCATGGACTGTTTTGGAAGCAGCTACGCTTGCCTGAACTGTCTTGTTAGGGCCCAGGGCCTCCTTAAAGCGAGAACTGCAGGTGACTGGATTCATCACCTTGAACGTCAGGTGACAATAACCCAGCTGGATGGGAAACTGCATTCTCCACAGCCAGAGACAATCAATGTGACCGTGATTTGCCACGCATCCCCAGAGGAAGGAAATCGAACCGGAGCGGTTTCTTTGTGGTCTTTGTGTTGGGAAGTATCAGCTGTTTTTGAGACTACCTTGTCTGCACTTAAAGAAGTGTGAAAGTCTAAGCTTGAAATACAAATAAAAAAAACTGTGAATCATATATTTTAATATTTTAGCATTACGAGAAAATAACCACCAAGTATTGATTGAACTGTTTGGTACATTTTAGAAGTCTATAACAGTCTGTCTGATGTACCGAAATAGATATTGTGCCCTAAAAAAATCTGTATTTAATTATGTGTGAAGTTTTGTCAAATGCTTTCATTTTCATATTTATTAAATTTGCAGCTTTCTGTCATTTGATCTGGGAAGGTGTTTTATGGGAAAATCCAGGGACATTTTAGAGTTACAGGAATCTGTTAAAGCTTCACTTTCTCTTTTGACATTTCACTTTTGCATTTCGGTTTTCCTGCAATGTTATACTTTCCATTCAGCACAATAAAGGTGGGATGATTTGGAAAGGCGTATTCACACAGCATGTGTAAATTGTGGTCTTTGTGTTGGGAAGTATCAGCTGTTTTTGAGACTACCTTGTCTGCACTTAAAGAAGTGTGAAAGTCTAAGCTTGAAATACAAATAAAAAAAACTGTGAATCATATATTTTAATATTTTAGCATTACGAGAAAATAACCACCAAGTATTGATTGAACTGTTTGGTACATTTTAGAAGTCTATAACAGTCTGTCTGATGTACCGAAATAGATATTGTGCCCTAAAAAAATCTGTATTTAATTATGTGTGAAGTTTTGTCAAATGCTTTCATTTTCATATTTATTAAATTTGCAGCTTTCTGTCATTTGATCTGGGAAGGTGTTTTATGGGAAAATCCAGGGACATTTTAGAGTTACAGGAATCTGTTAAAGCTTCACTTTCTCTTTTGATATTTCACTTTTGCATTTCGGTTTTCCTGCAATGTTATACTTTCCATTCAGCACAATAAAGGTGGGATGATTTGAAAAGGCGTATTCACACAGCATGTGTAAAAGCCATTTCCGAAATTCCAACAAGACAGGAACAAGTTGATCAAAACAAGAACAAACACACCTTCCAAAAATAAACCACTCCACATTTGTGCCTCCATCCTTTCAAGACCAATCAGACCTTCTGAAAAACACCCCTATCTGATTCCTATTTATTTTGGCTTGCAAATTAAGACCAAACGATTAAAAAAACGATTCCTCACTCCTTTTTTAGTGTCTTATATTGATTTTTTTTTTGGTCAGGGTTGCTATAAAAGACTGTTGCCATGGTGACCATCCAGATGCAATGGGAAAGGGGGGTGGGTCGTGTTTTCATGTTCCACAGGGAAAAGAAGGAGAAGCAAAGGTGCGAATGGAACTGTGTTCTCTTAGAAAGATGGAGGGCCACTCACCCATTTCGTTTTTTAACCTCTTCATATTAAATTTAGTACAATCTTTTTGAAGAACCAGCAGTAAGTAATGTTCTTGCTTAAGAAAAATGGCAGTATTTTATCATACTTGTGCTAATATTTGTCTTTGTTTTGACACTATACCTCACAAACGTTTCCAAAGAGGCCAGTGTTTGACTAAGTATGAGTAATAATAGTGATGACCAACTGATGAAATCCTGATTTATAAGTGTGTTTTCCAGTAAAACACTTACCACGTCCTTATGCGTATTGTACTTGAAGTGTGTGTTAGTGGTGTAAGTGCCATCCTTGTGAACCTATACTATCAGAGTAATTGGATGATGGTCAAGAACATCTCATTCTTGTTCTCGGGAGTCTGTTTGCTGACATCTGATTTTTTGAAGTGACTCATATTTGAAGGAACGCTTCAACAGTGATTCATCTTATCTAGTTTTTAGCAGGGTTTCAGACAAAACGAATGCCATTGACTACAAGAATAAAACATTTAGGAGCCATATGACTTTTTTTAGTTGATAAATTATAGAATTGCTTGGTACAAACGGTTGTTCAGACCAGTCTGTAGACTGATGTACTTTGAGTAACAATTCCTGGTTCATTTCGAATCGAAAAACGACTCGCGGAATTCATCAACGGCTCTAAATGATTCACTGACTACGTGAATATGACTCAAACAGATAAGAGTTCAACATATTTATCTCAGTGATTAAAAAGAATTGCTTCATAAGAGTTGTTTGTCTGCTTCATAGAGTTGTCTAATAATGAGGTGATATTTAAAGATATCTGATATAATGATATTATATAACTAGACTAGGTTAGATTTTAAGCTATTTTTTTCTTGTCACATTTGGTAATATTTAGCCCTATACGAAAATTAACCATAGTTTTATTGTAGTTAAAGTGTAATAACCATGTTTTTTGGCAGATTGATTACCATTTGTATAACCACAGTTTTACTACAAATAACATGGTTAAACTGTGGTTAGTGTAACAAAACCATGGTTAATTTTTGCAAGGGAGGTCATGTTCTTAAGACCTGATAAGTGAGATCTGGTTATTATTTAAAGATTCATATGTTTCTTTCCTAATTAGTGAAATTAAGATGAACAAACACCTAACACTGGCCTGCATTTACTACCGACATAAATGATACGTCAAAATGTGGTTTGTTGAAAATGGGTGTTAAAAATCCAACAAAATAGAACTTTTAGATCAGTTTAGATGCTATATTGAATTTAACACAGATGAAAAATCCGAGGTCACATAATTTTTTACAACTTTCAAAACTGTTTCTTTTTTCAGGAAAGACATTTCTTCAGTAGAACAGGTAATTGTTAAAGTACAATCCATTGAACGCACTGTACTTCTATTCCCCATGGTTTTAAATTCTTCAAAAATTGAACATGGTGCATCCTGACTAAGGTCTATTATAATAGAAAGTGGGCACTTTCGTTTCAGACCAGAAACCACCTTATCAACCACATAGCAGTATGCTAAAACCACTTAAAACTCCTAAGCAACTGCCTAGCAATGCCCTAGCAAACACATGCTGATTTTTTCAATTTAATTTTCCTGAGCACCATTAAAGTGAATCACAATATCATTGTTTGCTTGTTTTTTGTTGGCCATTGTGATGGTCCCTGACAGTTACAGTATGTTTTTGTACTCTGTTTGCTTAGACAAGGGTAATGAACCACTGCGATGACATTTAGCCCTCCTAGGACAAGAAAGATCGATAGTTTATACAGCTTGCGAAACCACCATTATTTTAAAAGCTTTCTTATGAAGAGTTTGTGCAAGACTGTGACACATTCTAACCCCCAGGCCCCTAAAAGCTCCTGCTTATGCAACCCTCCGGTGAAAAAGAACAGCAACAATGATTTGTGCAGAGTCCTGTCTTTTTTAATCACTTAAAGACACTGGTATTTCCTGGTTCTCAGTTGCTGTGTGGACACTGAACATCTAGAGCGTAGCGGCTCTAAACGCCTCCACTCCAGCTTGTTTGTTTAATTGCCATTTAAAGAAAAACAGAATATTTAGCGTTTGACCCAGGGTCTCTGCGTTCTTGCGGTGCATCCTTTGCCAATATAGCAGATCAGCAGCTTTTTTACAATGTCCCCAGTGCTTTGTCTTTTCCATGAGATCTGTTGTGTTTTTTCCTTTATATGTATTTGCATTTCTTTGGGCACTGGTACATTATATACACACAAACAGATGCAGATAAGCACTAAACTGCACACATCTGCCTCACAGGTCTATCTGCGTATTAAATGGAAGATTATCTTTTCCAAGAAAAGCAGCCAATAACATGAGGAATGTTTCATTTGGCTGGCAAGTTTATCAGTGCAGGTCAGATGAGTATTATTTTCATCACTAAGAGACTGTTTCATGCTGACTCCCCAAATGTTGCTTTTGAACTTCAGACAGCACTGAGTGATATGCAATAAAAACTTCCCATGTACTGTAGTTTTGTAAGACAACATCCGTATTGATGCAGTAACATTAGTTTTGTTTGTCAAAACTTGGACTATTTCATGTAAATATGGCAACAAAAAAAAAAGACGCAAATGTCAGTCTGGATATCTGACTTAAGTATGCATATAAGAAATACACATAAAATGCCTTTGTTACAGTAGCAACACTCATAAATGCAGATGTTATGAATATAAACATAGTTAATAAACTGAATAAAACTAAATTGTAAAAACCAAGATAAATCAAATAAAAATATTTTAAATAAAAATAGTTTAAATTATAAGTTAATAAATAGCCTATGACATAAATATCTCCCACTTAAACCATTCGAAAACAGGCAAATCCTGTCTCCAAGTAACGCATAAACTTGACTTCATTTTTGTGTACGAGTTGAGTGTATTATTATTGAAATTTCTGTGAAATTTAGGGCTCACACACTTTTGAAGGAAGTAGATTTCTTTTGTTCAACACAGGAATTTAACCAACGTAACCTGATGCGAAATCTGCGTGGGGAAATCATTCAACAGAAAATTCCAATCGCATGGATTCCAATTGAAATTGGTTGGATTTTGCCCACGAAAATCCGCCATCTCATAAATGCAGATGTTATGAATATAAACATAGTTAATAAACTGAATAAAACTAAATTGTAAAAACCAAGATAAATCAAATAAAAATATTTTAAATAAAAATAGTTTAAATTATAAGTTAATAAATAGCCTATGACATAAATATCTCCCACTTAAACCATTCGAAAACAGGCAAATCCTGTCTCCAAGTAACGCATAAACTTGACTTCATTTTTGTGTACGAGTTGAGTGTATTATTATTGAAATTTCTGTGAAATTTAGGGCTCACACACTTTTGAAGGAAGTAGATTTCTTTTGTTCAACACAGGAATTTAACCAACGTAACCTGATGCGAAATCTGCGTGGGGAAATCATTCAACAGAAAATTCCAATCGCATGGTTAATTGAAATTGGTTGGATTTTGCCCACGAAAATCCGCCATCAAATTGATACATTTAATTATTCCAACTGCTGTGAGAAAAGGCTACAAATGATCGGCCACCTGCAGGATCCTCATATGCAATAGCCTAGTAGCCGGGACAACTTCTTTATGTTTACAGAAGTGACGTAATAACGCAGCAGCATGCTCGAATTTCCCACGAAAACCTACCCGTACCACTCAAATTAGAAAACATTATTATAAACTAACCGTTGTGAATCAGGCTGAAGTAAGGTGATAGTTTTGAACACTGGCTGGTTATGTACTTGCTCAAATATTGATTTCGGATCATTTTGAACCAAAAAAAGTTATGGACTGCAGCATTAAGTATTAGGCTAAGCAGCAGTAATTATATTCCTGCCTTGCTTCAATAATACAAACTTCACCATAGTTCCTACTCATTCACACATCAGTCTAGCCTATAGCCTATAGATAAGCATGCGTGCCTACAGATTTAGAGTGGTCTATTTTTAATTTCAGAATGACCTTGAATATCCACTGCCCCCTCTAAGAAATGTGTGAACATGTTGTGAAACGTGTGTGTGTGTGTGTGTGTTTTCCACCTCAACAAAATGAAAACATCAAATGTAAATCTTTCCGTTGGCATTGGCATTTCTTCAAATTTTGTAAGGATATGATGCATAATGCATTTGTGACATAACATGTTATAAACCTCACATCGTTCCACAGGAAGCAGAGGGTTGCAGAACCTATCAGCATATTTCGGAACACAGACTGACCCACAATACGGCTGTGTGACCTTCCTATACGGGGTACATCTTGAAGACATTAATTATGAAGACATACTTGGCGTGAAGCTCGAGTTGCTAACCTCAGCACAAGCTCTGCCAACCACAGTACAAACTGTGCTTCAGTTGTTCAGCCACTGTGACGCTATGACCTGAAGACCTGCCTGTCAGAAAAATTATTTTAAAGACTTTCTAAGTGGTTTTAAAATACTTTTTTTGACCCTGTTTATTAATTTTAACCAGAACATTTAGAAAACTTCACAGAGATTAATCAGTATTAGAGATGTTTGCTATTATTTTTGCTTATATTTAAGGCTACCAACCGCAATGTTTGTGCTACACACATGAATATCTCAAATCATGCACTTTTTTAAGGAGAGACTGTTATTTTTCTAACCAATTGGACTTTTGACTTATTCACTTAGTGAATGATAAACCAGGTGAAAAATCCCATAGACTTGCATTGAAAGAGCCACATGACTTTTGAACTGGTAAGCAAACACCAGATACACCAGAACATAGGATTATGACTGTCAAAGGATCACTCACATTTTCTTACAAAAAGGTACAAATTAGTTTAAAAATGACTGGAAACTAATCAAAAGTAATGATTTGTGATTACTTGCGCCCCTACCCCAACCTGGCCGGAGATTTCATGCCTCGCTGTCTCTCACTTTCTCCCTCTTTATCAGATACAACCCGACCAGAACAAACATTCGTACCTTCCTCTTGTTTAATTTACAGTAAATGTAGCCAAATAGAGGCCTCTCACGTTTAATATCTCATGCTGTACCGATGGTCCAGTCCAAACTATGAACTCTGTGAAAAACCGTCTCCAATCCTTTTATACATTCACAACATACACATTTTGGCTGACGTTTGTGTTCTTAGCTTGCATTCATTTTCTTATAGAAATAAGCAGTCGTAAAATGAGATTATGACCCCTGGACTTTGGTGAAACTTGGTCAGACTACAAAGTCCTCATGTTTTGGCTTTGTAGACACTTCTAAAGGGCAGTTCACACCAAGAGCTAACTTTAAACATGACGTTTTAATACAAATAACTCCCTAAAGGGAAATGATGATGGACAAAATATGGGAGGGAAAAATATATTTCAATGTTTTTCAGTGCATTCTTTTGCAAAAGTTTTGCATTCCAGTCAAAGTTCCTGAGAATGTTTCTTTCATTTTTCAAAACCTTTGCACTTTCCAGAGAAACTTTGCATTTGCTCACAATGTCTTTGTGTTTTCTTGGAGGAACTCAAATTTTGCATGAGAACGCAAAAGCATTAAAATAATTTTCCTTCCATCTCATATTTTAGTCTGTAGTCATAAAGACTAACGCAGTCCACATCACAACTATAAGGATAATGAAAATTGTTGGAATCACTTTCAGAATGTTTTTTTTCCAGGTCATGAACGCTAAAAACATCAACAGCCAATCACAATCCACCTGACTTTAAAGAGCTAGAACATTTAAAGCAGCAAACGACAAAACTGCATATAACGTTCTTTTAACAGCCTAAACAAAATATCGTTCATTGGTGTGACAGCACCTTAAAGGTGACATATCATGAAAATCTGACTTTTCCAGGTTTTAAGTGCTATAATCAGGTCCCTGGTGCATCTACCAACCAAGGAACCAATCCAATCACTTTGTTTTGGTAAGCCTTTTTCTGCAAGCGTCTGAGAAAACGAGCGAGTCTGATTTCGCTCCCTTGGTGACGTGGCAAAGGGATCTCATTATAATATTACTGCCCCTTAATCTGTAAACTTCCACTCAAGGCACCTCATTTTGATTTCGCAAGCGACAACGGTGTACCAGTTCTAATGCCATGGCGAAAGTTTGAGCAAAACATGCTAACTGTTCTGTCTTTGGCTGCACAGACGAACACAGAACACTATTTAGATCTAAAATAAACATGCGATTTATTTGCCAGCTGTTTACCTTCACATCTAAAATAAACAAGCGATTTATTTCCCAGCTGTTTACCTTCACAGACATAACCGACTGTTTTTGTAACGTTAACTCGTGTGTTTTTAATGTAAACTTGTGTGCTAATGTGAACTTAGTTTAGTACTCACATGTTGTGACAGCAGCTTTCTGTCCGTGTGCTTCGGATGTGTGCGCTCAGAAAACCTTATATCTGAAGTTTAAA